TTGAAGAATGGAGAAAACCTGGCGGACGTGATCAATATGGCTCTCCTTGTCAGGACTCTAGATCAAGATGTCGTCGAAGAAGACCAGGACGAACTTGCGTAGTAGAGGACGAAAAATCTCATTCATGATAGCTTGGAACGTGGATGGAGCATTGCACAGGCCAAAGGGCATAACGAGATACTAGTAATGACCGTTATGGGTGCGAAATGCCGTTTTAGGCACATCCTCTTCGTTCATGCGGACTTGATGATACCCGGCGCGAAGGTCGAGCTTCGTAAAATAGGCCGCACCGTGCAATTCATCTAACATATCGTCTACCGTTGGGATCGGAAATCCATCCTTGACGGTCACCGCATTCAGCACACGATAGTCGGTACAGAATCGCCACGAACCGTCCTTCTTCTTGACGAGCAGGACTGGGGACGAGAATGGGCTGGTACTGGGCTGTATTAACCCAGCTTGTAGCATCTTGTTAACTTGCTCTTCAATTTCCGCCTTCTGAAAATAAGCGTAGCGATACGGACGTACGTTGACGGCTTCAGTGCCTTCCTTTAGGAGGATGCGATGATCTATGTTGCGACACGGAGGAAGGTGGGTTGGATCTTCGAACAGCGCCTCAAACTCGCGGATCACGTCCTGGAGCTCGGACGGTACTGGTTGAAGTGGCGCATCTATGGGTGGAGGAAAACAGATGGCTCGCAGTCCCGGAGCTTCTCGGACGAGCTCACGAACACTGGCTGCAGTAACCCCTTGCGAGGTGATGCCCTGGAGTGTACGTTCCTGTCCCTCCCATTGGAAATTCATTTCCAACTTCTGCCAATTACTTTGGATGGTGCCCAGTGTAGCTCACCATTGAATCCCCAATACAAGGTCAAATCCCGAGAGAGGGATAGCAAATAATGTTACTGGGAATTGGGTCCCTTGTATATTAAGCTGGACTCCAGTATATTTGCCGGAGCACTTCAATGGCTCCCCATTCGCGATCTTCACGTTGAAAGCTGGGATTGGTGTACCGGCGAGTTGGAGGACATCGGCGCCTTTGGAGCTGATGAAATTGTGCGTGGACCCGCTGTCGATGAGGGCCACTAGTCGGGTCTGACCCACAGTGACCCATACTCGCATGGTTCGACCACCCGTTTGGCCCGTGATTGCATGAAATGAGACTTCGGCGGTATCGGCAACCTCTTCATCGTCTTCCTCAAGTAGCATCATCAATCTGGGATGAGCACATCGGTGTGCGGGAGTAAATTTTTCGTCGCAGTTAAAGCATAGGCCAGCGGCGCGTCGACGATTGATCTCTTCGTGTGACAACCGTTTGTTGCCGGTCGGGGCTTGTGGCCGGTTGCGATTTCCTGGCGGCACATCGGCGGCGTGTTCTCCTGCCCGGGGTCGTGCGATGAAGGGCGCGTCGAAGTGGGTTCTGGGTTTGAGTCGCGGCGGCGTCGTATAGTCGGCAGCCGACCGATACGAGGTGCGCGGGGGACTTTGCACGCGATTGAGCTGTTCGTCGCGCACTCGAGCTAGGTTAATGGCTTCCTTGAGAGTCCGAGGATTAAAAATCCGGATTCCATCCGCCACTTCCGGTTTGAGCCCTCCCAAGAACGTCCCTACCAAAGCTTGCTGCGTCCAACCACGGACTCTATTGCCGAGCCTCTCGAATTCCGTTTGATATTCCCTCAAGGTACCCGTCTGCCGGATGCGAGACAGAGCTTCATCAAACCCCGTGCCCGCTGTCGGACCGAATCGAGCCCAAAGCTCAGTGGAGAAGCTCTCCCATGTTATGGGAATGCCATCTGTGCGGTACGTGCGTTGTAACCATTGCCACCATTGGTTCGCGTCGCCCTCGAGATGGTACGAGGCGAGTGTCACCTTCTGGCCCTCCGGAATGGCCTGAAACTCAAAGAACTATTCTACGCGGGAGAACCAGACGGTGGGGTCCTCGCCAGCATAAGTAGGGAACTCCAAACGAGCAAGCTTAGCTCCAAAGAAGGGCTGGCGATCTCGCTCGTCATCATCCTCAGGTGGTTGCCGTCGTCCACGGCCATTCACCGATCGGTCACCATCATTGACGGACCGCGCATCGGACCTTGCAGCTTGATATTGCGCGATCTGGTTGACAACAGTTTGGACGCCCGCTAGTTGACTGATGAGTGCCTGGATGCCGGTTCGGTTTTCTTGTGTAGCGGATTCGAGAGCTTCGAGGCGTTGAGCGTGGGTGCCCATGCCGGGCTCTGATACCAAATGATATGGGCTGAAATTATAGTGATTGAGATCTCCCTTTTCTTGGCAGGAAGAAGCCAGTGATCTACTTTCTTGGCTAGAACGACCAATGTGTCTATTGACTCAATAATGCCTGCCGTTTATTCATTCACGTAGAGTTTAAATAACAACTGTTTGCAACAAAGAAATCCTAACCAGTAGGAACTACTTTCCCACGTCTACCTAACCCTCCTCCACTTAAGGTGGAGATGATATTGATTAAACAACCAAATATTAAACAACCAAAACAACCCATGCTGATACCTCTTGACTCATTCACCAACAGAATACTACTCCTACTCTCGGCAAGCTGGCGGTTCCCGTTACTCGTAATCTCGGTAGCGGGAGTTGGGCTGTGGAACCCGGGTCGAGTGACGTGGAGGCCCATGCAGCCCATGAAGTGGATGTGGAGGCCCATGCAGTGGAAGCCCATCAATGCTCCATGGAACTTCAAGGCTATGTCTGTCGGAATTGAGGCTGTGAGGAGTGCTGCAGCAGGGAAGTTACAGGTCCGTTGGAAACTTTATTTTCATGGCATAATCCCTATTATGGAAGTGCACTTTGAGGTTATCGGTGCCATATTTTCACCAGCCACTATTTTCCCGAACGAACAACATTGTGATATTTTGAAATGTATTCTACAACAAATGTGACTTAATACCCATGTTACTGCAAAAGCTTTCTCATTTTCATCTGCCTTCTGCGTGCATGCTCTACCATCACTAATTTAATGTTTTCCAACCTTTTGGTTTGCCTTGCTAACCAATGATGATCATTAATTGCCTGGCTTTTGGTTGCATCAAGTATGTTACTGGTCAACTATCTTACTAGTTTATTTGATTTTAGATTAATAACTACTTCTAGCTTTTGTTGTTGCCTCTTGAGTTAAGTGACATGACCCTTCACCTGAAGAGTCATTTGAGATGATAAAGATGTTTTGTTATGTGTACTGTTATTCAGATGTCTTTTATTTGGCCTCTATATATTTTCAGAACTCTGAACTTGGATATGTTGAACTTGCCCCAGCCTAACCTAGGGGGTTCCATTAAAATATATGTATCGACATTGTAAAATGCATGCTTAATAACTACAGGAAAATAATTGTTGATTTGTGATTGGCTTCATGTCTTGGGTATATACTGCTTACAAACGTACTGATCTGAAAAGCAAGTTGTTCCATGAAAATCTCATTAGTTATTTGGCTTGTGAGGATTTTGCTTTGGCTAACCATAAAACAAACACAACTTTTTATATAGGCTACTGCTTCAATTGATCTGAAAAATAAGTTGCTACAACTTCTGATCTTAGGTCTTCATTTTATTTAACTTAGTATGATGGAAAAATGGTGATTGTTATAAGAGTTTCAATGAGGACAATTGAGGGAGCACTTGATTAGTTTCTGTCCTTTTTTCTGCATGACAGAAACCTCATTGTCATCTTATGACAAGTATGCTTAAATTATGAGCATATATTGCTTGCCTATTTGCAGTTGTGTGATTATGTTTTGTATTCAAGTTCTGATTTTTTCATTGGACTTAAGATACTAGGCTGCTTTAGTTTGCAGGTTAATGAGCTTAAGGCAGTTCTTGCTGTTTAGCTTTCAAATAGCACTTTCACCTGGTAAACCTAGCTTCCTGCTCTTCTTAACCAAGTACTTCCAAACAATGGTGGTTTGGATATATTGGATTCATTTTGAACCTTCAAGGTTAGTAAGCCCTCTTCTGCAATTTCCCTACACAGTGAATGCTGAACTCTTTCACCATAAACCTCTTCATTTGTGAAATTATTCCCTTACCAGGCGACAACACTGTCGTCCCATCATCAAGGGCACAGGCATGTGAGATCCACCTGCCTTCACCCATTTGGAATTAATGAGTCTGTGTTGCCATATGTTTTCTGACACTATTCATTTCCAATTTTGACTAAACTGTAAGCATAAGACATATGCCAAAAGTTGTTTGAATGTGCAGTCTTTGGTCCTTACTCGAAGATACATGTTTCTTTATTGGCTAATGAAATTGAAATTATGTATAGTGTTAAATCGATATTGCCTTTTCATTATCTTAGATGTAAGTAAATATTATAAAAACAGATGACTGCGGCGCGCAGCGCGCACAACTTACTAGTTTAGTATAAATTATTTTACATAAAAGGCTTTCCCTTTTTAATTACTAGGAGGATAATTTTGCTAATGGAAGTAGTCAGCTTCCTTTTAGACGCACAACACTTTGGAGCTTTGAAGCCAACGAATGTTCGTTGTTTTTGCACGAGATGTTTGCTCCAACAAGCTGCTCACTCCTTTGACTATGACAAAAATTTGCAACGTTGCATCCTGCGAGGAGCTAGAAAAGCCTGGCCTTTTGGCTCACTCTCATATGATAACAATTAACAAATGGGTTTGTCTCAAATCCTCATTTAAACACCAAATTAATCGTCTTCTATGCAATGATTGGTGATGCCAGAGGTGGTCGTAAAGTGTTTGATAGAATGACTGTAAGGAATGTTGTGTGCTGGACAACTCAGATTTCAGGTTATGGAAAAAATGAGTGTTATGAAGATGCTATGCTGCTGTTTTCAGAAATGCATAGATCGGGGGTCAAGGCCATTCAATTTACTTATGCTATCATGTTAAGGGCATCATCTCGTTTGCAATGTTTCAAGAGAGGGTTGCAAATAGTCGGTTTGCTAGCTATTTGTTTGTGCAAACTGCATTGATTGATTTGCATTCTAAGTGTGGGAGGATGGAAGATGCTTGTTATTTGTTTGAGACAATTCTTGACAGAGATGTGGTTTCTTGGAATGCAATGATTGGTGGGTATGTTGTTCAGGGTCTTGGTGATGATTCTTTTCAACTGTTTCATGCCATGATGGCAGAAGGCACTTAAGTCAGCTGTTATTTGCTTAGTGTGTGTAGTAATTTGGCTTCTCTAACCCATTATGCTGATTGGTCGTTCAATAGGTTTGCTACCTGATTGCTTCACTTTGGGTAGTCTTTTGAAGGTGTCTGGAAGAACTCGTGATGTTTTCAAAGTCATCCAACTACATGGATTGGTTGAGAAACTAGGTTTTGATGGGCACCTTGATTTGATTGGATCAATTATCGATGCCTATGAAGATGTGGGAGCCTAGCTAATGCTCATTGATTTTACACAAGACTATGGAAATGAAAGATATAAAATCTTCCACAACATTTGGTGAATGGATTCGCTCGAAATTATAGAACAGAGGTTAGGAATCTCTTCAAAGAGATGCATAGGCAACATATGGAAATCGATGACATCATACTATGCTCCCTACTCAATATGTGTGCTACTATAGCATCATTAACAATGGGGAGTGACTCACCCCGAATATCACACTTAAATCCCATCTAAGGCCCAAGTATAAACCTTAAATGGATGCAATATTGGGCAAATATGTTTAAATATCAACCCGAGCCGGTCCATGTACCCCTACTTCGATTGTTTGAAACATTACCTAGCGGAATGAAGTTTGTGAAAATCTCTACAATCTACGATTAAAATTGCAGGACTTGAAAAGTAAAAGGATTGGAACTATTGGTGAGAAGCTTCACTCGGGAGTTGTTTCCCCCTAACTAACTACCATGAACCATGGGATCGAATGAATCGGTGTGTGATAAGGAGATTGTGAACCCCTAGGAGGAGCAACAATGGTTAGAAACCACACTCTCAATTGCTAGGCCAAGGAAACATTATAGGCTACAATTGTAGCCCTCTTGGCCCAAGCAATTGAGGGTTGACTTACCTTCTCCCTCAAACTGGGGTTTGGACGGCTTAATCACAATTAGCCTATGTGTTCAATTTGAGTTTGGAGGTTTGCCCTACATTGACCTAGTTAGGAGGCATGGAATTCCCAAGAAAATCCAGCTCGATTTGAGCCTCTTAAGTTAAGAGGGTTTCCCTCTAAGCTAGGTTAGAATAGCACAATAGATTGCCAAGCACACACAATGCACAATCACCATGAAAATTACCTCAAATCTTAAATTAAACATCACCCACACACAATCATTCAATCCACACAATCAACTACATGGTATAAGTTAGGGTTCTACAACACCCAAGTGAAAAGGAGACTACTCCATGCTAGAAAAAGGAAGAACACAAAGGAAAGGGGGGGAAAACATCATTGGGATGCCTCAATCCTTCCTTGTGCTTGTAGAGATCCTCTCTTGAGGAGGAACTTCCCAATTCTTGGGCAAATATGTTTAAATATCAACCTGAGCCGGTCCATGTACCCCTACTTCAATTGTTTGAAAAATTATCTAGCGGAATGAAGTTTGTAAGAATCTCTACAATCTACGATTGAAAATGCAAGAAAAGTAAAAGGATTGAAACTTTTGGCGAGAAGCTTCACTCGGGAGTTATTCCCCCCTAGCTAACTACCATGAACCGTGGGATCGAATGAATCGGTGTGCGACAAGGCGATTGCGAACCGTTAGGAGGAGCAACATTGGCTGGAAACCACACTCTCAATCGCTAGTCCAAGGAATGCATTATAGGCTGCGATGTAGCCCTCTTGGCCCAAGCACTTGAGGGTTGACTTACCTTCTCCCTCAAACCATGGTTTGGAAGGCTTAATCACAATTAACCTAGATGTCTAATTTGATTTTAGATGTTAGCCCTACCTTAACCCAGTTAGGAGGCATGGAATGCCTAAGAAGACCCAGCTCAATTTGAGCCTCTTAAGATAAGGGTGTTTCTATCTAAGCTAGGTTAGAGTAGCATAATAGATTGCCAAGAACACACAATGACAAATCATCATGAACAATACCTTAAATCTTAAATTAAATATCACCCACACACAAACATTCAATCCACATAATCAACTACATGGTAGCAATGAGGGTTTACAACACCCAAGTGAATAGGATACTACTCCATGCTAGAAGATGGAAAAACACAAAGGACAAGGGAAAAAACCATAATTGTGATGCCTCAATTCTTCCTTGTGCTTGTAGAGATCCTCTCTTGAGGAGGAACTTCCCAATTCTTGACATGGAGCAAACCCTAGCCTCTTCTCCCTCTTGCTTCGTGGCTTTCTCTCTCAAGGGTTTCAAGAAGAAGAAGGTTTCTCTCACTTTGGGCTCTCCCTGTTTCTTCCTTTCAGCTCCCCTTTTATAGACTGGTCATGCCCAGTTCACGGTCCCAGTTCACGACCATGAACATCTGGCTTGGAAAGTGAACACAGCCAAAATGCATTGCTTTCATTTGTTGAGTTCGCGGTCCATGGGTTCAGTTCACGGTCTTACAACCGTGAACTGACTCGTTGTCAGTAACTTCTAAAATATCTCTGGACACCCTTCAGTTTGCGGTTCGTGGCTCCAGTTCACGGTCCTCGATTACTAATGATGGCCCTCGAGGCCCAAATCCGGAAAACAATTTATTAAGAAATCCGCAGACTCGTCTTGCATCATTGGTGGGGAGATCTTGAGCCTCAACCCACCTCGAGATGTATTCCACAGCCACTAGAATGTACTTGTTTCCAAAAGACGAAGGAAAAGGACCCATAAAGTTGATGCCTCAAACATAAAAAATCTCGCATGTAATGAAAACCGTTTGGGGCATCTCATTTCGGTTAGAAACATTACCTGTCCTTTGACAATTGTCGCAACGACTCACAAATGTGTAGGCGTCCTAGAATAGAGACAACCAGTAGAATCCCGATTGAAGCACCTTCCTTGCAGTTCAGTTGGCACCATGATGGCCTCCAGCTGGTCCCTCGTGGCAGTGGCTTAGGATAGCCGTAATTTCCATCTCCGGTACAAACCTCTGAATGACCCTATCGGCTCCAATCCAAAAAGGGTGGGGATCATCCCAAAAATAGTATCGAAGATCGGAGAAGAACTTTCTTTTTTCATTTGTGTTCATCCCCTTCGGCATTTGCCTTCCAACCAAGTAATTGGTGAAGTCAGTGAACCACGGGGTGGCACTCTCAATAGTGGAAAGTACAAACAACCGTTCATTGGGGAAAGTGTCATTTATCTCTCTTTTGGAGGTGCTCCCTCCCGGTCCTTCGAGTCGCGAGAGATGGTCCCCGCAAGATTTTCGGCTCCCTTTTTGTCTATGATCTCCACATCAGACTCTTGGAGAAGTAGGATCCATCGGATTAGGCGGGGCTTGGCATTGGCCTTGCTCATCAAGAAGCGAATGGCGGAGTGGTCAGTGTAGACAATAACTTTTGAAAGCACAAGGTGGGACCTGAACTTGTCAAAAGCAAAAATTACTGCCAACAACTCTTTTTCGGTAGTCATATAATTCTCTTGAGCATCATTTAACGTCTTTGAAGCGTAGCAGATGGGTTGAAAATTCCTACCCCGCCTTTGTCCCAACACTGACCCCACTGCATAGTCACAAGCATCACCCATAAGCTCGAAAGGAAGGCTCCAATCCGGCTAGACCATTATGGGGGCATTCGTGAGCTTCACCTTGAGGATGTTAAATGCTTCAAAACATTCCTTCGCGAAGAAGAAGGGAGCATCCTTCTCCAAAAAATTTGTCAGTGGTAATGCAATCTTTGAAAGGTTCTCAATGAAGCGCCGGTAAAATCCTGCATGCCCAAGGAAACTCTTGATGCCCTTGACCGTAGTTGGTGGAGGAAGCTTGCTTATTGTTTCAACCTTGGCTCGATACACTTCATTCCCCTCTTGGAAATTTTGTGCCCCAACACAATGCCTTCTCACACCATGAAATGTGACTTCTCCCAACTGAAAGCCAGATTGGTTTCTTCACATCGGTCAAGGACCTTCTCCAAGTTGGCAAGACAATGAGAAAATGAATCTCCGAACACCGAGAAGTCTTCCATGAACACTTCCATTATCTCCCCATGAGTTTATCGAAGATGGCCACCATGCATCTCTGGAATGTGGCTGGGGTATTGCACAATCCAAACGGAATGAGCCTATAAGAAAATGTTCCGAAAGGGAAGGTGAACGTTGTCTTGGCTTGATCTTCTTGGGCAACCGGGATCTGGAAGTACCCCGACATCTCATCCAGGAAACAGTAATAGTCATGCCCCGCAAGCTTCTCCAAAATTTTATCGATGAAGGGCAAAGGGAAATGATCTTTGCGGGTGGCGTCGTTCAATCACCGATCATCAATGCCCACCTTCCACTCGATCACCGTTTTTGTTGGTATAAGCTCTTCCTTCTCATTGGCTACCATTTTCATCCCTCCTTTCTTAGGGACCAAATGTTGGGATCACCCACTGACTATCCAAGATGGGTAGATGATCCCGACCATAGTTAGTAAAAACGGCAAAGTTAAGCGTATAATACGCGTATCCCCATCTTTGCCGAACTTTATTGCGTTTCCCGTAATTTAACTGGACAAGCTGTATTATACGAATATATGGACCCCTTTCCGTATATACGACAAATAAACGGACTATGGCGGCCTATATAAGTTAAAGTACGGTGGAGGCAAAAAGTCAGCGGGCCAATTTTAGGGTTTTCTGCAATTTTTCTTCTTCGCCGCCACCATTCTACCCTGTGTGCCATCCAACTCCGGAGAAATCATACTAATCTGTGCTACCTTTCTCAACAATGACGAGGTATATATTCATGCTAGATGCTTCTAAATTTAAGATGAACATGTGTTGCTTCTTTGAATTCTCTTTTCTTCGTGCTTTTTCTTGTCTGCCTACCTGCAATCTAAAGTTCAACAATGGTATATTACATGTTCTAGTTTCCGCCGCCTGGATTTGGAATGCTATATATATAGTTATATGTAGTTATATATATGTGTATACTGTGATTTTTGGCTGGATTTTAGAGTGCTTCTATACATATTTTTTATTTCTTAATTAGGATGTTCCACTAGTACGTGGCTATTGGATTGGAATCCCAACTTAGGAGTCAGAGATTTTC